CTCTTTGGATATGGAGGGAAAAAAAAAAGTTATAAAGTGTCTCTTAAAAAAAAAATCGAAAAGTTTTCAAAAAAAAAAGTCAAAAAAGCCAAGCCAAGACGGTCTGAACAAAATTTGCTCAAAAAAAGAAAACACTTAGGAAAAGAAAGAAGGAGAAAGTGTAGGCGAGAGAAAAAAAAAAGAAAGAAAAATAGAGGCGGAAAAAATAAATTAAGAAAGCAAGGTTCCCTTCTTTTTATTCTCTTTGTTGCCTGCTATTCGCTCTACTGCCCGTAACTCTTTGCTCCCATCTGTTCTCTCATGCCGCCGCGCTCCCCGCCTATATAGCGCCCCTGACCCGGACACGCCCCGCACTCTGAATGCGGCACAAGCGGGAGCTGCGGTAGCATCCAGCGCTCGTCCCGGGAAGGGCTCTGGGAAGGGGAGGGAGCAGCGAGGGCCGGGGGTGGGGCGCAGCCCATCGCAGCGGTTACGGGCGTTTATGGAAACGGGCGCGAAGGGGATGCGCTGGGGCCGCGTCGTCATGTGCCTTTTGTGTCGGGGGTGGGGGGAAAACTAGGGGGAAAAAAAAAGGGAAAATAATGCGCGCTTTGGGATTCCCCACCCCCCTTTCTTGGCACCGTGAGCGGGGACGTGAGAGTGCCCTTTTTTGGACGCGGGGCCACGATCCGTGCGCCGTGGGGAGGCGCGCCCGCGAGCGTACACGCGCAGCTTCAGCGCCGAACTTCCGCGGTGGTGCGCCGAGCAAAACCTCGCGGCGCGCCCTTCACAGCGGATACGAGCCTCAGGTCTTGCATCCCGCGTTACTATCATTATTTTGCAGTCCCCTCAAATTCCGCGCCTCTCCCTCCACCCTCCCCCGGCTTCCCATTACTCGGTTTAACCTCGGTCACGAAAACCCACATTGGCAAAGGCAAAACTCTTGTCCGTTCTTGCTGCAACCTTCGTTCCAGCTGATGCTGAAGGTAAGGGATGGTAAGGTGGTCTGCGCACACACTGCAGTCTTGCAGCCTGGCCCTTGTGCAGAATCCAGCGCATGGTGATCACAAGTGTTGGCTCACGTGGCCGTTTCCTGACATGGGGATGATACAAGCCAGGTGACTGCTCTGTTTTTTCAACCCCTGCATCATTAGCACTGAAGTTCACCTTCCTGTAATTCATCAGCTGTTCATTTGTCTAAATTCAGATGGAAAAGCGAAGCATGTACATTCTTATTCCACATACTGCCATTCCCACCAGACTGTGTATCTCAGAAACTGCACTTTTTACAAATCAGATTGTTTTAGATAACTAAAACTAGCTCTTTAGCTTGGCTTCCCTGTTCTTCATTCTGTAATGATACTTTTTCAGACTTGAAAAGGATTCCGTAAATAACAGGATGTATATAAATATATATTGCAAAAAAAAAAAAAAGCTGATATTCTGCCTGAAGAATATGCTCAAAGGATACTTCAACCTGGGAAATGAAATTAAAGATGTGCTAACAGAGAAATCAGCCTCATTTAATACCCTGATGGGCTATTGAACCACCAATTTTCAATCTTCTTTTGTCCTCCTGCTCATTCTGTTAATTGACCAAAAGAGGTCGCAGGTTGTCCAAGATTGAATCAGAGTCTCGCTAACTCTGAGGGAGCCCATCTACAAAGCTAATCAAGCACTCAGCACTGTGTGTGTGCTGTTAGGAGACTATTGCAGGAAAGCTTGCTGTTGCCTTTTTATTTATGTATTTATTATTATTATTATTATAGGTGATTAAGCCTGAAAAACTCAAGGATCATCTTGTAGTGTGCATCAGGAGCACCCGAATTAGGTCCAAAAGAAAGAAGAGACCTTCCTTCTCTCTGCTCCAGCAGAACCATGGCAGGGTAGGACTGTACACTGCTGGGCATATGCAGGCATCATCTTCAGTCAGGGAGAGGTCTGAGAGCATCCTGGCTTCACAACTGAGACAGTAATGTAGAGGATTCGAGGACAGAAGGAATGAAAGAAGAATCCTGCTCCATCACCCCAGTTATACACTTCAATTATTGACAGACTAACACCAGGGTAACTGGTATTTCAGACTGCACCATGATCATTTCTATCAACCTGAAGTGTAAATCCCACCATCACAAAAACCATGATTTTATTTTTTCCCATTAAAACATTTCACAAACTTCATAGTTCACCAAATAAAAGTGGTTGATCTATTTTTTTAAAAACACAGCATTGGTGAAGTCAGTTTGTATTTGTTAAGTAGCATAAACCTAGACTAATGCAATTACTAAGACTATTACTCTGAACAACAACAACAAAACACTAAAAAATGGAAAAGGCACCATGAATAACACCAAATAGGCAGTGGCTCACCTTCACAGTAAATGAGTAGAAGGTCAGTAATATATCAAAGATCAATTTTCCCTAATACCTTTTGCTAAACAATTACATGTTTGGGCATTCCATTGCCATGGAATTGCAATCTTAACTGGGGGGAAAAAAGTTTCAATAGCTCAAAGCTATTGGCAAGCCAATATATCTGGAATGTTGTGTCTATGCAGAGTTTGGCTGAACAGGTACTTTTAGCAACAGCCTATACAAACATGCTTCATTATCTAATTTGGGTTCTAAATTCATGCTTTATTTTTTATCACTAGCAGTGTTATGTGCTACTCCCTTAACTGATTTTAGTATGAGAGTTGAAATATACTGCTGAAGTGTAAGGCACCTGTATATGACTGCATGTAGACTAAGACTTTTATAAGTTTGTTATATTAGACCAAACCTTAGCCAAGTCAGTGGAACCCTTCTGAGTGGATGAGGTCAAGAGCTAAACACACAGGTGGCAATATTTATCAAACTGCACCAAAACTAAACTTTCAAATTTACATATACTGTCAATTCTAGGGGCTTTGCATTTTTTTTCTGTTTGTTAAGTTTTCCTGGAAGAAGGCTGAGAAGCACCACAAGTCACATAGAGTGACCTTTACATTCAATGCAAGACAATGGACAGCAGAAAGGGAACAGCAGCAAGGAGCCATATTTCAGGAGCCATTTCAGCAGTACCCTGCTTCCTCTGCCTGCTGCTCTAGAGATAGAAAATGGCATTTATGGAAGTACAAAAAGGATGTGCTTTATTTCCCTTTCCACACCATCCCTCCCCCTGTCTGCATATCCAGCCCTCTCTCTTCCCTGACGCAGCGGCTGGACTCATACCTTTTGTGTACTTCTTTAGTGCATGCACTCACTGCAGGGGCAATACATGGGAACTGGAGCTGTGATTGAAGTAGCTCTGCTTTCTGTTGCATCGCCACAGGGCATTTTGGAGCTACCTTTTAGGGTAGTCCCATTCTATGGCATTTAGTTATGCTGCACAAGATGCCATCCTCAAGAATGTGGACTTTCCTGTATAATGCTGTTTTAAAAGTTATGCCATGTTGCAACTGTTTTTCAGGCTAGAAAAAAAAATCTTTGAAATCTAGAGGTGTACGGCTCATTTTCGTTTGAGGGCTAAATACATCTGCAAAACACCTTTTAACTTGTATCTCTCTGCTTTTCTTTCTTTTTCAAACTTTAGAGTTATGTGTATGCTAAACTTTCGAAGTCAACAGAATCCAGGATTTCCACAATATGGTCTTACTTTTTCAGAGGAAGAATACTTGTATTTGCACTAAAGTCAATTCATATAGCAGGTATTTTAAACCACTAAATATCAGCATGCTTCAGATTGGGTACCCATGGTCAGTGTTGCTAAAATGCATACAGTATTACATGATACTTTCTAGCCCATTGTTTTCACAAAGGCAACCATTAACATGTCACTCAGCATTATCTGTCACCTGCTTGCAAATATTTAAATAAAACTTTCCCACAAATTGCTGTGAGTTCGGGAATACAAACGAACATTCCGAACATTTCCACCCCTCTTACCCCTGCAGCCAAGCAGGTCGGCTTTCCAAGTTGGAAACTATATTAGATTCGTCACAAATGCCACCCTATACTGCTCGTCTGAAGATACTCACCAGGATTCACCCTGACACAATCAATGAGGGTTGAATTTGCAAACAGGCAAACTTAGGAAACTGAAGGAGAAATAACAAATCTTCTGTACAGAATCCACTAAAATAAGATATTTAGCTAAGACTTTTCAGGATTTGCCCCTTTCTTTGCTATCACAGGCCGTAATGGAAGAGCATACAATGGAAGCATTGCAGAAACAGTGGCCAGTTTCATTTACTCACTGTGGCCTCCTGCTAACCGTAATGGATAAAGGCAAGATAGTTTTCCAAAGAACTGAAACTACTGTTGATGCTCAGGCTTGATGCTCAGCCTCTCCCACTGTGCCACTGCCCCATGCACGCACTTTTGGAGTGATGGTGAGAGCTGTCCCATTCTGTCTATATAGCATGTTGTGACAGTATATCTTGCAGAATTTATGAGACTGGGGAGAGCAGAGGAAAGAGAAAATGGAGGAAAAAAAAAATCAGCTCTTCGGACTTCTTTGTAAGAGCAGCAGATTGCTTCTTGGCCAGATGTCCTCCACACCCACACCCCAGTCAGCAATCTGAGTATTGTGTAACTCCCCAAATGCAGGTGTCAGAAGAGGTAACAAGAGAAATGCTGCTGCTTTACAGAGCATACAGTCTGCTGCAGCCAGATTTACTCACACACATGAACTTCTGCTCACAAGTCTAAATAAATAAATAAATATCAAATGCTGCCTTAAAATCCCTAGACGGTAGGGTATGGAAGTGAAAGGGCAAGTGATTTTGGATCACTGGAAAGAAAATGCAGCTGAGCCAGAGCATTTGGAGACCTTATTTATGTGCATTTGATTTTGAATGAACACATTACATGGTAGGTCATTCTATAAGTTAGGGGTCACAAATCCCTACGAATGTGTTAATGTATGTTTACATTAACATATATCTTGCAATATGCCTACAATTGGGGTGTAATCTTTTAGAATGAGCTAATGTGCTTCTATATTCACCAATCTCACCTGATTTACCTTTTCAGTACAGACTTCCAAATAAGTCACATTTGCCAGACTGTAGCAAAACAACTACAAAATTTTAAAATCTGCCACTGCTAAAAGTTAGAGCTAAAAGTTTATGCTGTGAGTTCCAGTTAGAAGATACTCCTTGTCAAAAGCATGAAGTTTGCTGAGGAAATGTGTGCATAAAAGAATATAGATTCCCGTAAGTGCTTTGTTTCAATCAAACAAATTTAAATGGCACAAATGGCACATTCTGTCTGAGAATGCCACTTATACTTCCATCCACTAGCAGCTAAACTTTTTTTATAAATTGGCAAAATCCACACCCTCTGTCTTTGCAACTCTTTTGTTTGTTTGTTTTGTTGAGACACCAGCGGCGTTCATGCCTTTATACACAGGATTTATGATACATCCCTCTATTGGTCATGCTGAGCAGGTCCAGGTCAGTGTGAACACTTACTGCCATCTATCCCAGCTCTCTGGCTGTTAATGACTAAGGACGTGATTAGTTACCATCTTACAATGACTGATTATTATACAAATAATTTTT